CCGGCGCCGCCCATGGAGTCACAGGTGCGTTGCCGGCCTTTTAAGAAGGCCGTTAAGGAAGCTCGTTTCTTGAAGGTCGTATCGGTTAAAGGTTGAGAAAAGATAAAAGATTTTAATTTTATTTTAATACTATTTTCAAATATTATTTTTCTTCTTATCTTGCTTCTTTGGGGCATGAGGTACTACTACCCATAAACATTGTAATACTAACCACAGATGTAAGAATTCTTGTTATAAAGTGTCAGTATATAATTATTACTATTGGATGTCTAGAAAAAACAAAATTAAAAAACACAGTTTTATTCATTGGATCTACTTATTTAGTTAGCTTAAAACTTCAACCTAACTGAACTAGAGAAATATTTACTTATTAATTTATTTAAAACAGCTAGGTTGTTTTTTTCGAACCCAAAATGGATAACACTTTTTTTTTTATTCACGTGCATAATTTTCGGGGCTCAATGTATATAGTTGCCAATAGAATGATTGTAGCCTTTAATATGTAAAGCACCCCACGACTTTTATTCTGAAATCAATGACCTTAATTTTATTATAATTTTATTTTAAAGTAATTAATCATGGTTGATTGTTTGACCTTTCGCTTCTGTAATAATAAAATTGTTTTTTTTATGTGATAGGTCAGCAAACAGACAGACGGATTACCTGATGTTAAGAAATCAGCGCCGCGCATGGACACCCGTAGCAGAGGAGTTACAAATGCATTACCGACCTTTTGGGGATTAGGGATTTGGGAGTGATTGGGGAGGGAAAGGTTTGGGCCTACGGTAACCTCACTAACACGGCGAAACACAACGCTGTAGTTGTTTCACACGGGTTTTCCGTGTGGCCGTGGTATTACTCCGGTCGAGCCGACCCATTCGTGCCGAAGCATGACTTAATATTCAAGAATATCATTCTTTAGATTCATTCTAATAAGTCTTTATGTATGCGGATAATAGTAGCTGTAAGCACTACGCCACTACAACATGAAAGGCCGTAAATAAAATCTTGTTCAACGCAGAATCTCTGTGGCGCTAGTGGGCATAAAATCTTGCTGATGCGAAGGGAGTTTTACTACCTCTGGCCGCGTGAAGTGGATGAGGGCAGTACTAAGATTTCTCGAAAGTATGAATGCTAATATTGTCGAATTTGTTTGTTGTAAGGAATTTGAGTAGTCACATGAATTTGCTGTTTCTAAAGCCGCAAAACCATCAATCAAAAGATAATCAGTCAGATGAAAAATAACTTTGAAATTAATAGGTAAAAAACACAAATAAATAATTTATAAGAATACATAACAATATAGGCTTTAATAAAACATAACCATATTTTTGTACAAAATATTACTTATCCAAGATTTGTAGCTTAATATCACCTTTAGAAACCATACAATAGAAAACTTAAAAAAAAACCGTTAGGTATGGCAACTAATGTATCAGATAAATTTGAATAAAGAACGTAATCATTTGTATCGTCTATTGTGACACGTACTTATTAAACAGATCCTTAACCGAACAAGTGAGTTTCCTTCGCCATCCAGTAGTAGTGGGTAACAAAATATGAGTCTAGTTGACAGGTACCGACGGATTCAATTTGCGAATAATGTTCAATTTTGCACGTCAAGTGTGCGGCGTGTCTGTCAACTGTCCCATCGGCCAACCGACAAGGTATTACCTATATTTTTTTATTTTATTAATCTGCTTTTTATACAATGCTTTCAAGCGTGATAAAGTAAAATTGAATTTTTAGTTGCGATGTTATTGATGTCTAGTATTCTAGTATTGCTTGCTCTAGATTAAATATTGGAAAGTTCAAAGCAAAGATATCGCTGTACGCTTTGTTTTTTTTTTGAAACTGTATAGATTGGTGCTGTCTTGTTCATTTACCATGTGATAATGTAAACATAATTGTGTGGGAGAGATATGTTACATCACGAATAGGCTAGTTCTGTCGGAGTAACACCCAATCCTTTTCCCTCATTTCCAAACTCAAAATCCTCCTTAATCATCTCATGATCTTTCATCGTTAAGGTGTTCCTTAAATGCAACCCCTTCTCAGATGGATTAGCAATTAGATTATGAGCAGATTGCTTGCGCATTTTAAAAGCAATTGTGTACTTTGAATGCATAATACAGCTTTGACCCCAAAATATTTTTTCCCAGCTCATAAGCTATTCTACTTTTCATTCCAACAAAGACATGGTCCATATCCTTAGGTACTGTTTTCACTAATCTGCTTTTAATAAGTGAAGGGTATAAATGTAAAACTTTTTAATGTGCCAATATTCACATTTTAAGAAACATATACCAACAAATATGGGTTTTGGGTGTACCCCAGGGTAGTGTGTTAGGTCCTACCTTATGTCTAATTACCAAAATAGTATACAATACTTATTTAGTTTTTGGAAAGGCGCTAATAATAACGTAAAAATATAATTTCATAAACAATACAGTTTAGAGTACCTACTTTTGCTGCCAAAAGAATTGCATAATAATTTATAGTGAATATGGCCAAACGGAATGTATTTTAAATATGCAAATTAAATAAGTTGACTCACTTTTTTCTTAAGTTTGTTTATTCAAATATGATTTATAGCTAATGTTAACTTATAGTTTAATAAATAACGTATACTGTTTGATAAGCCGGACATATTTTGATTTAAAAATTGATGGTTTGCAAAAGTTTTTTGTGTATCTGTATTCTTGATTTTCATACATAGAAGCTTATGTCACAAGTAACAAAATTTGAGATATTTTTATGTGCTTACTTTACATTGATTTAAACTGACCGTAGAGGGTCATGTTCTTATTACCTTGGTTTTATGATACCTAGACTTTAACTGATATTCATTACCAAACTTGTTTCTAGTCATAATTATAGTACTAAAAAAAAAGAAGTAAAGAAGTTGTATAATTTTGCACGGTTGGTGCTGTGGCTGGGCAACTGGCTGCCGTGCAACGTGTCGCGGGTTCGATTCCCGCACGGAACAACTCTTTGTGTGATCCACAAATTGTTGTTCCGGGTCTGGGTGTCATGTGTATGTGAAATTGTATGTTTGTAACCGCACCCACGACACAGGAGAAAATCCTAATGTGGGGCAACGTTTTTTTAAAAAAAAAAAAAAAAAAAAAAAAAAAAATAATAAAAAATTTGCTGTGATACTAATATACGAAAAAGATAAAACTGCTAGAGTCATATTTAATGCTGTTGTACTGGTACAGCGCGAAAATTCTGGTGTGTGTGCAAATCAAAATATACTGTAAATATTTTTTTTTTGTGAGGGAAAATCGTCATGTCACTGCTCCCACCCAGGGTAGGGCGGGAAAGAGTCTCAGACTCTTACTGACTAAATCCGTTCGTTCTCCTGCTCTGAGCTGAGGTCGCGGTGCCTCATTGCGTTGACCCCGCAACCCCGGCTGAACATCAGCCCTATAGGGCCCCGTCTGTGGTGGTCTATGGGCTCATTGTGGCGCGCGCGGCGAAGGCTCGTGTCTGATTCTGGTCGTGCGGCAACTCGCTGTCAAAGAAACAAAAGAAAAATATTTTAATACTTGTATTTTTGAAACTAAAACATAACTTTTGTTACGTAGGATGAATAGTTATTCAACAACGGCCTAGAAGTTTTGAGTTTATACATTACCAACTTACAAACAAAAATAAAAAAGGCTTATTATGTCGGTGTTAATGTTAATGTAGAAGAGTAGAACAAAAAAATGCAGGCAAAACAATTCTAGATTATGGAAATTAGATAATAGAATTAAAAACAAGAAACAGATTTTAGAAAAACAAACTTAGTATAAAAAAAAATTATATTTTAATAATGAAAAATAACAAAGACTATATTAGGTGACTAACAATGAACATTAGGTAAAGATTCCTTAAAATACTAGTGAGCGTTGAAGCTCCCATCATAATTATAATGTAATTAAAATTGATATAATCTAATACAAACATTGCAGACTATTAAATTTATTATATGAATAGATTTATCAGGCCAATTTTATCTATTTAGTGGTTTCAAACAAGACTCTCCACAGCTGGGGATGCCGTGTAAGCGCATATACCTACTACGGCTTTGGCCTGGAGCAGAAGAATAAATGGGATAGTTTTTACTATCCCATTTATTATCATTTTAAGTTAGTAAGTGTCTGACCGTCTTTCAAGCTCCACCCACCGCGATAGAAGTCATTTGATGACTTTACCCACACAAAAAAGCAATAGGTACTTCCCAAAAAGGTAACTCAGGGCGATTAAGAATTTGTAAGACTTTTACATGGCATAGGGCGGCCAAACATATGTCCAATCACCTGATAAAAAGCAGTTGCATATCCGTTGTTGACTTTTTAGCAGTTTAGGATTTAGGGATCGAAATATATAACATGAGGCATAATCTGCGTTTTTTTGGTGTCGGGTTGGAAAATCCTCATGGAGACCTACCGCCCTCGGGGAAGGGCGAAGAGTACTGTCAGACTCATACTGACTAAAAACCAACCCGGTGTTCCTCCAATAACCTATGTGTTGGAGGGATGGGTATCGCCGAAGCATTCGTCGCATCCCACCGACGGGTATTGGCCCGCCAGATGGTTAAGCGGCCCCGTCATCCACTGCGGCCGTCACCCCGGCCGCAGGACTCCACTATGAGACGCGCGCGGAACACGGCGCCGCCGCCTCGAGGCCTGCTGCTGGTCGGATGACAAGACGCCCCGAGTGTGTCGTCCACAGGCCTCGCCCTACGGCATATTCTGCCTATAGTGATCCATATTTAGTATGTTCGTCTGCGTCGGCACCGTCCGTTCTGAAAAAGAATAAAGAGGATCTAATATTTTTTTTCTTGAATTCTTAGGCTTCTTTTTGTATAGTACTTGTATAGAACTAGCACGACAATAAAATGTAAATGCATGAACAAGTCTACAGTCAAGTCTGTGTGTGTGTATGTGTGTGTACTACAAGAAGTGTCATATAAAAACTTATAAAGACAACACAGAGTATAATAAAACCCAGTCGCGATTACGGAAGCAGATAAAATACACACATAGATGTGTCAATTATCTTGAAATAATAAGAAGTCTTGATAAAATAAGTGTTTTAGAAAAATACACCTTCCACGCTTGTAATATGGATTCAGTTGAAAGTTCTCTACTGAATGTCACTCCAGCAGTTATACATAATGTGAGGAAGCTTTATGGTCTGGATGACCAGAGAAGGTTAGATGAAGCCATCAAAATTTTAGAAGATTGGATCGAGAAGCAACCTCATATCGTCAAGAAGGATTTTGGTAAGCGCTATAACTAACAATTTAGATTAGGATAAAACACTTAGGTGCGAATACCTACATACGACATATTTTTATTGGACAAGTTCTAATGTGGAAGGAAACAGGCTCATAAGAAACATAATATGTATTTTAGTGAAAACATGCCTTTATTCAATTAACATGTGGCTTGGAGTACAAAATGAAAATAAAAGATCTCTCTATACACGACAAACTAACAAAAATCTTCTAAACTGTCCGTTGCCGTATTTGGTATGGTCTCAAGTGACATTGATCCGGTCTTCAGCGTTAACTAATTGTACATTTTTTAAGAATTGTCTCACGTGGGCAAGGACTATTAATGTATTGAGCCTCATACATAAGTCCGTGGTGGTTTCTGTCACACCGGGCGAGCCTAACCATTCGTGTCTAAGCATGGCTCTTCCACACTCATTACGGGTTTTGGAGATTTCAAGATTACGAAGAGAAAAAGGATTTGTCTTCCAGTTACCGGCATACACAAAAGTGTATTTATTTAACGGCGGTTTTCTGTAAACTGTAGTAACACGCCGGTCCAGTTAAACCATTCGTGCTTAAACATGGCATTCTACAGTCTTGAGTTGAAAATGTCCATCGGCGACGCTGATTGCTTACCAAGGCTATCCATCTGCTTGGGTATCACCTCTAAAATTAAAGCGAATTGTTCTTAATTCAAAAATTCTAACACCACCACTTTATTATTGTTCTTCTCTTGTTTTTTTTTTATGAATTTTTAAATACGCATGTCATCGGACCGGTTCCAAATTTTTTTATGACAACTTATTTCAACTACAAAGCAAGGTTTAATTTTTGTTTAAAATATCTAAACTTGTCTAGTCTTGGGTAGACTAGATCTAGCAAATTGTTAATTTTGGTTTGTCGAAGGCTTTGGCTTTTTTTTTGAAGCATGAAGGTAAAGAAGTGTTACAATGTCAAAAGTAGGTTGTTTTAAATTTCTGTGTAAATAAAACCAAATGATTTCACTAAAACTTAGATTTCTTTTTTACTTTGACATGTCTACGGCTTTGTTTTCTATTGCTTATGATCTCAAACTTGAACTATTAACATGTAGTATATATAGTCCATAAACTGTAGCGAGAACGAGTAATACAATTAATTTGAGAATAAAAATAGACTTTCAAAATAAAGTTTCTTACTGTTGGATAAAATACACCAGAAACGACTGGATCTCTCATTTAAATGGAAGATAATCAAACGACTCTTCCTATCCTACGTAATGAGGAACGGAGTATCGGACTCTTACTGACCAAAAGCAATATCTTTCTTTCGGCTCGGACCGAAATGACTCCTATGAATAGCCCCGTCATTCACGCCGCAATATATATAATGGTTTATTTAAAAAAAAAATTACCATACATTCTGGCAGTCACCCACATAGAAGAGGATTTCCTGAAATTCCTATTAAAACGAGCAAAAAAATCTGAACGTATTTAGAGATTTCGTAGAATCATCTTTTTTTTGTGGGAATAAAAGTGTTGACAGAAATATAATAAAAAAAATATAACGATAACTATTTTGAGCGCAGCTTGACGCAAATAAAACTATGTAACCTTCGCCTATGTATAATTAAAATAATTAAATTGCAACAAACAGCACCTAGTTAAACATTGCTTGTTAAGAATTATCTTAGCGGGCAAATCACTTGATATAAAATGTCAAAGTCAAAGTCAATATCACCTTATTCCGACTAAACAATACACAAGTACTTTTGAAACGGCTAAATAGGATAATAGCCGACATCGACGTTAGATGCTCGTTGCAAAATGTAGATGCCAATGAATAAATGTGTCGCAGCGATTTCGCGCAGTCAACATGAATAAGAGCCCCGGTGTGACTTGAAACTAGTAGAGATTTACTCAGTTAATTGACGTGAGTAAGTCGGTATTTTCAACAAACTGACTAGTAATCTGCTTGAAGTTCGCCGTGTCGACTATCGCGAATGCGGCTCCTGAATAATGAGGCCATCGAGTGGCTTGAATCTAGGCGAGTTGTTCGTCAAAAAGTCAAAAGTCAATAATCATTTATTCCAATCAGACCCACACAGGCACTTTTGAACGTCAAACAAAATTTTGAAGACATAACACAAGCGTCAGTGTGTCGGTCAGTCCTCTTAGTGAAGCTATTTGCTCGTTCCAAAGTGTAGGTTGCGATGGAGAAGAAAGAGCAAGAAACTCCATGGTTTTTTTTTTTAAATCGTCAAACAATTATTGAGTAATAAGTTAAACCTAATAATAAAATTAACAATATTAAAATATCCAAATCCAAACTAATATTATAAATGCGAAAGTAACTCTGTCTGTCTGTCTTTTCACGCCTAAACTACTGAATCTATTCGTGTGACCTTTGGTTTGGACAAGGCCGGCAACGCACCAGTGACTCCTCTGGTGTTGCGCTTGTCCATGGGCGATGCCGATCGCTTACCATCAGGTGATCCGTCTGGTCGTTTGCCTCCTATTCCATAAAAAAAAATGGTACTGACATAGTTTGGAACTTGAGAACGGACACAGGATAGCTTTTTAACCAAAAATCTTCAGGAAGCCACTATTCCACGCGAACAAAGTCGCGGGCAAAAGCTAGTAATAATATTAATTGATTATTTATATCTCTCACGATACACAAAACTATTTCAACTTATAATGTAGTTTAGCACAAAGATTTCCGGATTTTGTGCATACATATTATTATAATATATTATGTATGTTTTACCTAGTATTATGTAATTATTGTTTTTATAATTTATTATTTGTGAATAGCCAGCATTTTGCGCCGAATTCACACGCGTTTACACGATAACTAATAAATTTTGATTGACGTCAATGATCATATCAATTGCTTTGTTTTGATTCCTCGTATAATAATTAAGGTGGGTTGCTACTTCGAAAAAGATTTTGGTGCATTTTCTCCTCTCCTTTCCCTGTTCATATAAAAAGAATTGATGAAATCAGTCAATCTGTCTATAATGGTCATACGCGATGCAATGACTACGGAAAATTGTTTTTGTTTTTTCACACGAAGCAGGCAAGAGCAATAATAATTACGCTTACTTAATAGATTTGCCATTTCAAACTTATGAAATTAGAAGAAGCATTAGATTTCCTCGTCATGTTTTCCTTCACCGATTAAGACAACACAAAGACAGTGTTGTAAACATAATCTTAGAAACCAAAATTGATAAAAATTGACTGCACGATTGTTTGTTTTTTTTTTGGTTAGTTTTATTTTTTTAAACTTTGCCCCACACTAGTATTTTCACCTATGTACCCCACGACATACAATCACGTATACATCACACCCAGACCCAGAACAACAATTTGTGGATCACACAAAGAGTTGTTCCGTGCGCTAACCGAGCCCGCAACACGTTGCGAGGCAGCCAGTTGCCCAGTCAACGCGGCAACCGTACAGTCAACTTGACGTGGTGCCGTTGTTTGAATGGTTTTCACAAATTGTTGTTCTGAGTCTAGATGTGATATGTATGGGAATTTGTGACACAAGAGAAAGTAGGTAAATGCAAATTTTTTTTCGAATAAGGATCATAAATGTCACATTGTTACCAGCCAGCTTTCAAACGGACCACTGCCAAAGTAAAAATAAATAAATGATTACATTGACCGAAATGCTATATTATTTGATTACAGCTAAGCGGTTTTTAGAGACAGCTATAATAACATGTAAGGGGTCCATTGAAAAGGCTAAGAAACAAATAGACTTTTTGTGCACAATGAAAACTATGGTGCCAAAATTCTTTGAAAAACACAACTTGAAGTCTGATCTGAAGACCATTTTGGAAAAAATGTAAGTAGATAGGCATCTCTTATCACCTGTAAAATATAAGCTTGAAGGCACCAGGGAGGTTGATACAAACATCGACATGCCGATCATCGTCTTCACAGTCCATCGCAGGGCGTAGGATTTTATAATCAGACGAAATAAATTACAAAAATAACGGACGTCGGCGATCCGTCTCCTATGACAGTCTCACCATATTGCGCACGCAGAACTGTCTGTTTGACGTTCCGCCAGAGTACCCTCTTCATTGATGAATCCATATCAAGTTATAGATTTAAAATTGTCAATGACCCGTGAGGAAATGTAGTATGTAATAGTCGTTCCTTCTCTACTGGCTCACTTCTCCACTCCATTAAAGGCTGGTTATTGTTATGATTGCCTAATCCAATTATTTTTCTTGCAGATGGGTCATTCCACTTCCACAGATGTCAGATGATTACTACAGATTGATTTTAATTAAAACTTTTGATGACGAACTGTCACTGGAATTAATTCAACAGTATTTTCAATACATTTTAATTGTAAGTAAATAACATTTTTTTTTATTTATTTTTTTTATTTTTTAATTTAATATGTCGGCAAACGAGCAGACGGATTACCTGATGGTAAGCAATCAGCGCCGCCCATGGACACTCGCAACGGAGGAGTTACGAGTGCGTTGCCAACCTTTTAGGGATTAGGGATTTGGAGATTTAGGGATTTAGGAGGGATTGGGGGAGGGAAAGGATTGGGCCTCCGGACCTTTTTAACTATTATAATTTGAAACCTTTGCTTAGTCCAAAGTCTATCCAGGATTTGACTTTCTTTTCTTTTTAAATATTAAATTTTATGTTACTATTTAAACACAAATTTACTCTTACTCGTTTTTAAGAAATAAGTATGTTATTTGATACAAGAATGCAAAGATGTCATATATAGGTCTCGATCATAATTTGTTTAAATACATAAAAATTTGTCCAGTATACCGTGGTAATTCTCACGAATGAACCAACATACAGACAGACCAAAATTGTCTGGTCATAATATGACTGCACAGTTGGTGCGGTTGCAATGTCTCGAACTCTTTGTGTGATTTTCAAAATGTTTTTCCGGGTCTGGGTATGATGTGTATGTGAAATTCTGTCTGTAAACGTACCCATGTAACAGAAGAAAATCCTAATGTGGTTTTAAAATAAAAAAAAAAACTCATATATTTTATCATCTGTTGTTTTGTAACTGAATATTGTCTATTTTTATTTTCAGCTTGCTGAGTATATTCGAGCCCACGATTACGTCCAAGGTTTTACAATTATAATTGACTACCGTGATGTGAACATGTTCAACCTTATTACAAGACTAACTACACCTGATGTTCAACCATTTCTCAATGTTTTAATTGTACGTACATAAATAATAAATATGGTAGAGAATAATGTTCTCCATTTAAAACAACTGTTTATTATGTGGTAGGACTGCAAACGGGTATAACGATTACCTGATGGTAAGGAAACGGCACTGCCTATGGACACCCGCGACACCAAAGGAGTTTGCCGGCCTTATGAATATTGGGGGAGGGGAAGAAGGGTTAGGACTCCGGTAACCTCATTCATACGGTGAAACACAACGCTGTGGTTATTTCACGCAAGTTTTCTATAAAACCGTGGTAGCACTTCGGTTGAGCCGATCCATTTGTGCAGAAGCATGGCCCTCTCACACGTTCAAAAGCTTATGGATAACAAGAAAAACAGTTAAATATTATCATTCAATTCGATATTTGAATGTATAATCTGTGTTATGCTAACGCATACTAATGGTACAAAGCAGATAAAAAAAACAATTATTTTAAAAAATCCGCTCTTTAATACATTTTTATTCAAGTTGCACAATTATATTTATTTATTTATTTATTATAAGCTTCATGCACAAGATATTGTACACAAGGTGGACTAATGCTTTGAGCATTCTCTACCAGTCTGACCTTTGGGTGATGCAGAGAAGAATACCAATGGCAGATGCAAGAAGCAAGCATGAAATTTTTGAATTTGTAACAGGCTGAAGAATATATATACCACTATAATAAATCTACACAAATAATACATATATATATCATTCAATACCAAGTAAATACATATATGTATACTTACATATAACGTTACATAAATACATACAATCATACACACACTATGTATATAATGTTATGATCCTGATGACTCTGCCACGCTCTTTAACAGGAGCTCTCGAACTTTCCGCTTGAACGACAAACGACTGGGTGACATCAATTATAATTGAATTAAGTTAAAGAAACGAACATGTTAAAGATTAAATAATTTATATAGATTTTAACTGTTATTTTAGAAAGGATACGGTGGAAGATTTAACAGTCTACACATAATCACCGAATCAAAAGCTGTAGAAATATTAGTATCGACTGTCAAACAGTTGATAAGTGAGAAGCTTGGTAAAAGGATCCAAGTGCACAAGAATTTAGAAGAATTATATGAAGTAGTTCCTAAAGATCTCCTGCCAGAAGAGTATGGGGGCAAACTGAAGTCTTATTATAAAATGCAAGGTAAGAAAATTATAACTTTTCCAGAAAACAGACATTGTATTACACACTTAGGTATGGAGTGCTCCACGGTAGACGCCATGATGCGCCAGAGAGATCTCACGATGGATATTGAATTGGCCATTGAGCGGGTCGTCGTGACGGTGTCTCGACATTGCCAAAGCCTTTAACTCATTGCCTTGGAGCTGCATCCCGAAGGCACTCACTCTAAACCGGGTACCTGACTACTCCCGTCATGTAAAGAAGACTTATTTGACACACAACTTCGTCATCTACTCTAGTAACAGAGGCGTGTGGATCCGGCGAAAGATGTCGTGCAGTGTCCCACAGGGATCGGTCCTCGGACCACCTCACACTAGACGAAAAAGTCATTTCGATGATTTCCCCTCTGAAGCGACACCGATTGCGAGTCCTGCCAAAAAAAGCATGTAATACATTTATACTTAACTTTGAGAGTTAAAGTAGGCAATGTTTAAATATTTTTTTCTGAGCAACAAATTGACGTTCTGAATCTAAATGCTGTGTGTTGTTGTTTAGGCATGGGAAGTTTGGAAGTCAAGTCTCCTAATACAGGCATTGTCCGCCTAAAAGAGCCTTCAATCATAATTTATATTTAAATAAAAACATTGTTTTAGAATAAACGCCTTTGTATGTTTTTATATTTTTCTATGTTCTGCATTCAGCAAATCTTTTTTGCTAGTTGCAAATATCTCTGTACTTGTGTCATTGGTTCACGCCGACTATGATTACTCCTAATTTATTTTAAATAGTATTTTGTAATGATATTTTTTTATTACAGCTGAACTGGTGGAGGAACTAAGTTCTGAGAAACATATAGAGTACCTAAAAATAATGTCTAAGGCCTGCACGGACGAGTCTAAACGAAATACCGAGAAGTTCAATGAAGAATACATGGGCATGCCAGGAACTTTTAGGAATTTGACTGTTGACTAGTTTTAAGATAAGTTCGAGTCGAAGCATGGGTCTTCCACACTTCCCACGGGTATTGCCAAGGACTGGTTTAAGTAACGATTATATGTCTTTGAAAAAAGCTGTTATTAGTCATTAATTTTGAAATTGATTATTGTTTTTTATTTTTAGTAATAGTTATCTACACTTAGCAAAATTCTATCGACCTAAATATATGGATAATATTTTGTATTGACGGTGACTTGGCGATAAAAAGGTAGCGATGACGAATAAATCGGAGATATGATGGAAAAATCGGTGACTTGAAGATAAAATAAGGGACTTGACAAAAAATCGGAGACTTGACGAAAACATTAAATCAAGGACTTGATTCATTAAAGACGACAAATAAATCAAGGACTTGATGAAAATAATGTGGTGCTAAAGCAGTAATTATGTGGTAGTAAGGTCCCGCCATACTGTAGTGGAACAGTTTTACTAAATTTTTGGGACCTATTTAAAAATTGTTTACACGTCCGTGAGTACAATGTCATTAAGTTAGTAAGTAAAGTATTGGTTACATATAAAAAATGACTTTAAAAATCGTATAAAGGAACTTTGTCTGGCTCAACAATGTATTTTTTTTAATAAAAAAACGTTTTTATCATTGCCGGCTGTTTTATTTTATAATGATTTTGCTATTTCGTTTTATAACATTAAAGAAAACGAAGACAAATTAATTAATATTTAAAAATTGTGTGAAAAATATGAACATGTTTATGAAACATAAATATAGAAGAAAAAGAAGTTTATGATACGGTAACGACAGATGGAGGAAAATGTGAAAAGACAAAATATAGTGTTGATTCCAAGTGTCGGACTATAAGGGTGAAGTATGGAAATGGAAATTTTTATAAAGGTGGGTGATGATTTCAAACTTATAATTAGAAATTATAAGTTTATGTTTCCTCACGATGTTTATCTTATAACTCTGAAAAAGTCACATTGGTACTTGCCAGGTTTCGAATCACACCCTCATGCATGAGAAGCGGGCTCCTTAACCTCCGGACCACACGACACACAAGTACTTGGTAGAATTGACATAATTATGTGTACTCATGGACTCTGCTGGCTTTGAGTGCAGTGCATGTCACGCGGCTTACTCCAAAAGCAGAAACATTACTAAAAGTAGTATGTTGTGTGGCACGACACGTAAGTATGTGTCTAGCAATAACAAATGTATGAAACCAATATGCTTCTAGCGCGTCAAGATTCGCAATGAGGCTAAGAACTCACGGAGCGATTTTGAACCGTGCCCGCCGCGGTTGCGGGCCCGCAGCTTCTGTAGAATTCAAATATTTATATAAAAAATTAAAGCACATTTCACGACGCGTTTTACGCCCGCGGTGTACGCGGTTGTATGCGGCTCCCGCAGTACCGGCGGGCAACTAGTAGAATCGCGCGGGCCGCGGTTACCCGCAGTCTCGGCGGGTGGCACCCGCGCGCTTTGCGATCGGTTGGCGAGCGACCACGGGGGCCGGCGGGTCTTCTGTGAAGTAAATATAACGCAACGGCTCGTTTCTAGTGTGTGTCCATGGCGGTCTGGACCTCAACTGATCTTTAATCGCCCGTCTTGCAATCTTGCGATCATCGCCCGCCAAGTTTGCGGGCGATGATCGCAACCGCGGCGGCTGTGTAACCGCGCAAATAACCGGTCTCGTGAGTTTGGAAATAAAACCGCAGTTCCGCTACCGCGGCGGGCACGGTTCAAAATCGCTCCGTGAGTTCTTAGCCTGACACGTAAGTATGTGCCTTAAGATAAGTTGGCGAGTGGATTAGTGTACAACTTCAACAATAGAACTCAGCAATTTATCAAAGGTTTTTGAAAAAAAAATCTTAAAAAATACTTGACAATTTATTGATAGTTACGATACAAAGAAACGCTCTACTGGTTTCAAGTCACTACGGGATTCTTATTCACAAGCAGCGTGTATGTCGTGCAGCCAGATAATTTTGACAACCAACATTATCAATTTGTTGCTTTTTGTATGGTACAAACTTATTTTGATTAACAAGTATTACAATAATTCAGGAGAGATATTTTTTTATCAAATATTAATAATATAATATAAAAAACAATTCCGCCACTTACTTTTATGTGTTAGGACACCAAACGAGCAGACGGATTACGTGATGGTATGCAATCGGCGTCGTCCATAGCCACCCACAACACCAGAGTGGTAAGTTCGTTGCCGGCATTATGAGGATAAGAGATTTTGGGGATTGGGGAGAGATGGGGTCTGGTAAACTCACTCACACGGCGAAACGCAACGCTGTAGTGGTTTCACGCCGGTTTTCTGTGAGGACGTGGTATCACTCTGATAACATAGCTTCTTCAAATACATTACGTCGCTGCATTTATTATGCAGCCAAATAACATATAGAAATAAAATAAATAGAACTGTGATTTATTTAAAATAAAAACTGTCACTAGAACCAAAGAGTTATTATGCATTTATAATGCATCAGCGAAAACTAAAAGCAGGTTAAGGTTGAATAAGCCATGCATATTATGTTTCAATATGAAATGTTTGCTTAGGTAGAAACAAAGCAATGAGTATTTATAAATGTTTTTTTATGGGATGAGTCGGCAAGCGCGCATATGGATTACCTGATGGTAAGCAATCGGCGTCGCCCATGCACACCCGCAGAACAAAGGAGTTACGAGTGCGTAACCGGCCTTTTGTGGATAAGGTTTGTGGATTTTTAATAATTGGTTAGGGATGGGGGAGGGGGAGGGATTTTGCCTCCGGTAACCTCACTCACACAGCGAAACACCACGCTGTGGTTATTAAGACAATACGCTGGTTTTCTGTAAGCCCGTGGTATCACTCCGTTCGAGCCGACCCATTCGTGCCCAAGGTTGGCTCTCCAACACTTATGAACCTTTTTTTGAGGAGATACATAAATTCGTCAACTGATTTCTCTCGCTCAGATTATGGCGAGAGGAAGTGTTGGACTCTTACTGACAAAAACGCCCCTGCTCCTTCTCATGCTCTTAGGCCGAGGACACGATGCCTCATTGTGCTTACCCCGCTACCCCGGCTGAACATCAGCCCTATTGGGCCACATCTGTGGTAGTCTATTAGCTCTTTGAGATGTGTCGCACTATTAAGGATGTTGTTTCCCCACATTTAAAGTAATTAACTGATTATATTTTTTTTTTTTTTGTTATTGTTATGTTGGTAAACCTAGCGTTTCCCGCGCAAATACATTATAGATATCCAAACGGTGTGACTTCACATCTTTGTTACCCTTATACGCAATAGGTATACAGCCATCCCTTAGTTGATCTGATATCGATTAATCAGGGTAGTGCTGAAAATCTGTGGTAGGGATCTTTGTTGGCTGCGTTATAGCATTGAGCTCAGCGCTGGTGATATAAAAAAGATGTTTTTGTATATTTATTTATATTTTGCTAGTATTCTGTGCGAGTGTTTTGCCTTGTAAGTGATTCCACCAGCAGCCTAACCCGTGTCTTCCCTATGCCTCCGAAATCTCCTAATCCAAAAAAGTCGGCTATACATACACTCGTTACTCCTCCGGTGTTACAATTGGATATACATATTTGCTGCTTACCATCAGATAATCCATCTACTCATTTGCCGACCTATCACAAAAAATTAACATAATGTAAATAAACGATATTTTTCTATTTCTTTTCTTATAATATAACGTAAATAAACTTTTTTCTCTTTCTTTTCTTATTCTCTGTGCTTGTTCTTTCTTTAGTAATTACAAATTACCTTTAAATGATAACATATACCTTTTATATTATCTACTCACACAATTCTGTGACACCAAATTTGTGTATGTGTGGGATTTAACAAATGCGAAATAAAAGGTTATATAAGGCTCCGTATGTGTATTAGAAACTAGTATCGTATAAGGACGCACACAAAATAGATGTAGTATAATCGTAATAAATTAATTAACGGTCGCGAATAATTTGTAAAAGTATTAAGTGACATTGAATAATTTAGTTTTAAAATGAGTTCAATAGAAAATCCTCTACTGAATATCTCACCGGAAATCGTTAATAATATTAGGAAGATTTATAATCTCGATGATCCAAAGAGGTTGAATGAAGCCATCAAAATTCTGGAAGAATGGATACAGAAACAGCCTCATATTGTAAAAAAGGATTTTGGTAAGTTTGCAACTTTTTTTTTTAAATTCACGAACTAGCTTTTGCTCGCGGCTTTGTTTGCGTGGAATCGTAGTACAATTCCTGCAGATTTAGTTTAAAAAACTTTTCTAGGTCCTTTCTGGGGTTCCAAACTATGTCTGTACCAAATTTCACACAAATAGGTTTAGTAGTTTAAACATGACGAAAAGACAGACAGATTATCTTTCGCACTTATAATATTAGTTATTGTTATTCCAGATTTGGATGTGTATGTAATCACTACACAGTATAAAACAAAGTCACTTTCTCTATCCCTATATAGGGATATAGGGATAGAGAAAGTGACTTTGTTGACAAAATTCGTTGCGTAGTTTTAAAGATTTAAGCGTACATAGGGATGTACGCTTAAATCTTTAAAACTACGCAACGAATTTTGATGCGGTTTTTTAATAGACAGAGCGATTTAATAGGAATGTATAATAACATCGATTAAATAGTGGAGATATTTAATATCACCATTGTAAGTGCAAAGCTGGGGTGAGTCGCTAGTATGTCATAAAATACAAGTAGTGTGGGAATAAGTTATACAAAATAAAAATTTAGTCCTATACAATTTTTTTTTTCAAAATGTCAACAACTACATTTATTTATGAGATCGCATTATTTGACGTCATATTATAATGTTTTAGTAAGCTAGAATTTAATTATTATAAAGTTATTGATACTAATTATTACCAACGACACTCATAATTAACCCTTGCTGTTTTGAGAGAGGTAAAAATCGTCAAATTACTTCTCTAGCCCAGGGTGAAGCGACAAGGAGTACCAGATTCTTACTGAATTAAAATCACCCCGTTCCTTCTCCTGCTATAGGCGGGAGCCACCATACCTTATTGCGCTTGACCCACAACCACAGCGTTGTGTTTCGCTGTGTGAGTGAGGTTAACGGAGGCCCAATCGCTCCCCCATCCCCCATCCCTTCCCAATCCTTAAACATCCAAAACCCCTAAGGGTTTTGGATATGCAACACCAAAGGAGTTACGACTGTTTTAGGGATAACTCTATAACGTTGCGGGTAATGGATACCCTGATTGGTGCGGCGTTGATTGCTTACCATCAGGTAATCGGTATGCTCGTTTGCCGACCTATATCATACAAAAAATGTACCAGACGAAACTTCCGTGATCTTACCAGACACCTGCGTCAGGCTGAAGGTGGGGACGCCATGGGTTCTCCCAAAGAGAGACTAACTCTTGCTTGCTACTTGCACTGCTAACGATAGATTTACGAACGACAACTTTTTGTTTCCATTCAATTCAAAACAAATTACTATATTCCGAAGATTAGCGTGTGAAAACAGAACGTTATAACGTATACAAGAATAGAATATAAGAATAATTTAAGTGTGGGAGAGCCAAGCTTCGGCACGAATGGGTCGGCCCGACCAGAGTTATACCACGGCCTCACAGAAAACCGGCGTGAAACAACCACAGCGTTGTGTTTCGCCGTGTGAATGAGGTTACCGGAGGCCCAATCCTTCCCCACCCCCAATCCCTCCTCAACCCCTAATCCAAATCCATAATCCCTAAAAGGTCGGCAACGCAGTCGTAACTTCTCCTTCGGGTGCGGGTGTTCATGGGCGGCTCTGATTGCTTACCATCAGGTAATCCGTCTGCTCGTTTGCCGATCTATTACATTAAAAAAAATCTTCTTTATTATTGAAAAATTATTCAATGTTTAAAGAAAATTATGAACTGTTTTATTATGTGTACGGCAGACAGATACATACATACTATACATTGAAAAAGATCCTGTCTTTCCTGCATATTTTTCTATAATTTTCTCTTCTGTGTATATTTTTATTGTATTAAAGAGAACAAAGATTTTATTTGCTTGTTTGTTTGAAATGAATATCTGTCGAAGAATGAAAGAAATATAAACCGTTTTTTAGCACTGGGATATACTTGTAATAAAATGAAAATTAATCATATTAAAACAAATACAGCCGGCAACGCACTCGTAATTTTTTCTGTGTTTATAAGTGGCGTCGAATGCTTACCATCTACTTAAAAAAGCTATGAATAAAAAAAAATTACAACAGCAGTGATGGCCACTAGTGTGATTCTGTAAGACTTCATTCTAAACTTCGAATCTGAATCCGCCGTGAGTAGTAGTACACTAGCGCTACACTTGCGAGTTGAACTAAATTGACAGCAACATTTTGATAGATAAAGTATGAGATGTCTTTAAAAGTGGCATTCTCAAGTTTTATTTCCCCGTCACTTCGACGCTCACTTCGGACTCGAACAACATTCAAAATCAAACAAATTTTATAGAATAGACGTGCAGTACTCCCTTAAATTTGCCCAGGCACGAAGGCTTCAGTTCACGGAACTAGTTTTCAGTACAAGTCAGTCTGATGCAATACTCGTAAATAAATACATTTTAATTAATACCGTTTATTATACATTAATTTTACTCTGACGCAGTTTCGGAGCATAATCTACAGTTTTTTTTTTGTAGTAACTTTCGTGACATATGTATGTATACTTAATTCATTGAAAACTTACTTACCTACTTACTTAACTTACTCACGTAAATTAACTGAGACCTCGTAAATAAGAGTCTTATTTTAATTTGAAAATAGTTGAATATTCTTAGTTCGCGTGTATAAATCATGTAAGTTCGGGTTACTTTGACCCTGGGAGGTAACTTTGATCCAAATTTTCGAACCAATGAAAAACAAATATATTATGTTTGGCTCTCAGTTATTATTGGTTAAAGGGTTTGGATCAAAGTTACCCCGCAGGGTCAAAGTAACCCGAACTTACCCGGTATTAATTTTTTGTACATCACACATCCAGGAAATACGAAAACATATACAGTAAGAGCCGTACATAGGTTACGCATATTCGTAATTGGATTCACTCCCTGCAGTCCTTCGAAAGGAAAATCTAAGAGACATGAGACACTGTGTGACACAATAATGGTTTTGGAGAAGGAGAAAAAGGTAGTAAAAAATTAATAGTACTTAAACCTAAACCTTAGACTAAAACTAGAGCTACACAAATTAAATAACAACCTTCAAATAAAGTGATAGTATATAACATTATAAACCTCCACACAACAAAGTAAACATATAAAAAAATAATATACACATAGTAAAGTAATTAATACCATATAATTTAATTAATCTGATCTACATGAAGAAAGGTAGTGTTCCTTGACAAGGTTTTTAAATATAAATATGGACTTGACATCGCATATTATTATGCTAGGCGGAAGGCCGAAGTCTTACCGCGTGGACAGAGAAGGAAGAAGGGTTTCTGTTTTGTGCGATATAACAGAAAGATAAGATTAGAGATGGGATCGAGAAAGGACCGCAGGAGGGCGGACAGAGTATGAATAGAGGTTATATAGAATATTGTAAAGGAGGCATAGGATTCCAGTGTTCCTGTGAAGGGGAATCGAGAGCCACTTGAGCCTTTTGCGAAATTCAGAGACGTGATCATCATCCTTTTTCAAACCAAAGACAAAACGAAAACAGACATTTTGCAATCACTCAAGTGTTTAAAAACTCCTTAGTGGCATCCAAACAGCAAGCATCTACATAGTCTACCAAAGGCCGTATCAGAAACTGCACCAGGTGGATCCACGTTTTTAGTGGCAAGAGGGACTCAAGGCGTTTCAAAGAGTGCATGGAAAACTGCACCTTGTGACTAACCTCACCAGACCACCTGACCACCCCATAAAATTGGTAATTCCTAATTCTTGGCAGCATCAGTATAGGGTATAACGTAACCATTTAAGCTCGAAGGATTGAGAACAGAGATGTCCTGAGCGTTACGACAATATTTACCATTAATAATCGAAGTCTTGGCTTAAGTGGGTTGATTTGCAGGCCAAGGGTAAAGCCCTTGGCCTGCAAATCAACCCATTCGTTAAAACCATCTAAGTTACGATTCATGGCCTCTATCGCAGAGTTCACCTAAAATAGTTTAAAATGACGGTAAAGTTGCAAATCGTCTACGTAGGCGTGGAAATTGGGTGTAATAACCTTGGCAACGGTGTTAAAAAATGGAAAAAAGTGGAGCAAGGACGCCACCCTGTGGCACGCCAGCCGCGAGGTCCCACCAATCAGAGAAAAATTCTTCTAGGTGGACCCACTGATGGCAGCCTCGGAGATAGGGATTCAACCAGATCAAGGAGGACGACAGAATATCAAAGTCTACATAATTGGAGGCAGTCCAAAGATGTCCAAGGCCGAACTGTATAATACCGTTTAATTATTTTTTAAACTTCAGCGAATTATAAATAGCCTAAACGTGACTATTTCTATATTTAGACTTACATTAATTTGTGTTTTTTCCATTTTTGAACATGTTTGTGTTGTGACCAGTTTAGTGGTTAATAGTTTTTACTATAAAGGCGTTTTTTTAACGGTGTTAAAATATTAGCATTCATTAATCAACATTGAATTTTGTTTGTTAAACGAGCTCTAGTACCATCTTTCACCCCTGGACACCTGAAACACTCACTCAGGGGTGTTCCCGAGCGTACGGCGCGTAGCGTTCCGCGCGCGCCTCAAAGAGCCAATAGACCACCACAGACGGGGGCCCCGTCTGCGGGAGAAGTCATTTGATGATTTACCCCTCCCTCCTAAAAAAAAGGGGTGTTAAGTTTATTGCCCAGCCTTTTGGTGGCCAGAGATCTGAGTACTGTAGGAAATCGGGGATGGTAAATGTTATCCTCATAAAAAAACACGCAGACTTTGATTGATGAAAAGTTAAAATTAATTATAAACAGTGCAATTGGTTTATATTTAACATCAAAGTTCTAAGGGACATTGGTGCCCGGTGGCGACTTGAAAATTTGCCTTTAACGGTATTCTCTTTGCCTTCAAAGATCTAAAATAAAAAGTCTAATAGCCGAATTAACTCTAAAATTTATTAATTACAAGCGATAGACAAAATCTGTAATACCAAAATTAGTAAGCCATATAAGGCCAGAAATGCGATTTCTCTCGTGGCACACTGTTCTTATACATATAATAATTATAACCGACTAAGTGATGTAACAAATAAATGTATTGTGAAATCGATTGAAGAAGAGTTACCATGGAGTTTGTGCTTCTTCTTCTCCATAGGGATTGGACACTGGATACAGCAAATAGCATCACTACAGAACAAAACCAGCAGACTGACATACATTTGATATTTTTTTGTTTGACGTTCGAAAATGCCTGTACAGATCTATTTGAAATTAATGTTTTGAGTCTAATATGACTTTGAAAAAGGATTGTATCGATATCTAAAACAAAACAAAAAATAACGGCACATAAGGAAGTTTTCAGTATAAAAAAGTCAGTGTTTGCAAACACTAATCTCCGAAACTAATGAATGGATTACAATAAAACTTGTTTTAGCTGCATAGCTAATAACTTACAAAGTATAATTATGTTTAAACATTGGAATAAAAAACTGCCTGCAGACTGCGAGTGCGGGCTAGTTAATTTTAATAAAAATATAATAGCTATGTAATTACTTTGTTTTTTTAGGATTTTAGTTTGATGCAAATTCGAACGATATTCAAATATTAAAATTGGTATTTAATGTAATGCAAATAATGCTGGTGTTTTTTTCGTCTATTTTTTTCGGCTTCTTTTCGCGTTTTGTTACAATAAGGTACTTTCCAACTAGTCGAATTTAATACTTTTATCAAGTTATGTCAAAAACGATAATTTTATTACGTCATAGTATCTATATCCCCAATAGCTTACTTATTTCTTAAAAATTTGCTTTTGTGTATCGACAGATCGATGAATAAAAGTATAGTTATTTTTCAATATTTTATTGTATTGAATCGTCGAATTAATTTACTTTTGACTTAGGAAATGACCCATCTTTCGGGCTTTTGTAGATTGTTAAGTATTTGAGGTACGTTAATACTAATACTGAATCCAATAAATCATTACTGATTACTAATTACTCACTGGTCAGTAGTCGTGTGTTTAATTAACCCTCATCATCACAGGGGATTTCGAGATTGTTGTTGGGAGGGAGAACAATTAGGTACGCCTCCGGTAAACTCACTCACACGGCGAAATACGACGCTGAGGTGGTTTCACGCCTTTTATATGTGAGACCGTGGTATCACTCTCGTCAAGCCGGTTCACTGAGCACCATGTCGAGGTGTCGATTCCCGCACGGAACAACTCTTTGTGTGACCGGGTCTGGGTGTGATGTGTATGTGAACTTGTATGTTTATAAACGCACCTACGACACAGGAAAAAATCCAATTGATGACAACGATATTTTCTATTACAGTTGCTGTGCCACAATTTTTCAGGTTAAAATTCTATGCATAATTTTAACTTATGTTTGCAGAAAAGCGGTTCTTAGAGTCGGCGCTGATAACATGCAAGGGGTCTGTTGAGAAGGCGAAGAGGCAGATAGATCTTTTATGCACAATGAAAACTATGGTACCACGGTTCTTTGCAAGGCACAACTTGAAAACTGAATTACAACCAGCTTTGGAGAAAGTGTAAGTAGAAATGTCCTACTTATAAAAAATAAACCTTACTTTTTGATGTCCTTCAAGTAGCACGTAACCAGTATAAGTTGACCGTTGAAAGCGGGAAAAAATCATACATTGTAGCTATCAATAAGCGAAAGAATTTTGGGAATCCGACCAGTGGTTCCCAAGATTACCCACTACATACAAACTTACAAAGTTTACCTTCTCTTTGGAACCGCTAATCGGATTGCCAAATTTTTTTCACTTATAGATAGCTACAATTTTCCTTGGTGCTTTTATAGGCTATAAGTTATATTTGATTTGCGTTTTTTAGACAAACGATCTCTTTAAACGCTACTGTTTTTACAATTTCGGGATACATTACACCTACTTGTATACGCGTGCGAAGCTAGGGGCGGAAAAAAACCCAATTATTATTCACTATGTAGTTATTAAATATAAAATTTTCCCATTATTGATTTGACCTTGAAAACTGCTTGTTTTACTTAAGTGATTCAACATTGACTGTGCCCTTGATTTATAAATAATAATAATTAACTACTAAAATGGCTATTAAGATATGGGTGTTATAATTATTGACATAAATAGGATCTTCTTAGCTTGGTAGAATTTCAATATATTTTTAGGTATCGGCCATGATTTAAGCATAAGTTTTGCAATCAAGGTCTCGCTAGGGTTGGCCACATTAGAAGTTTTGATAGTCGGTATAGTAAAACTACAAACCAGTAGAATGATGACCTGATGGTAAGCGAAAGGCGTCGCTAATGGACACTCGAAATGCCAAAGGCAACACATAAGCGCGTTGCCGGCGCTTTGTAGTTTTGGGGTGAAGGATTGCATTATTAAATATCACTGTAACCCATATAAAATCTTTAAAATACACAACTTTTTTAAAGAAATGCTGCATCACATTTTCCCTTTGTCGTGGATGCGTTTATAAACATCACATCACCCGGAACAACAACTAGTGGAACACACAAAGAGTTGTTCCGTGCGACAATCGATCTCGCGACACGTTGCGCGGCTGCCAGTTATCCAGCCACTGCACCAACCGTGTAATCAACATAACATAACCAATCCAAGATAATACAATAGGGATTTGTCCTGGGGTAAAACGATAAGATTCTAATTAGTCCGTCAGTTAGATTATAAAAAAATACTCGATCCGTATTTTTTTTGTCCATACGAATAATATTGACAAAGATACAGCACATTCAAATTCAGGAGTAGGGGATCGTGACGTCACTATTTCGTTAAATTTTTACGAAATAATGACGTAGCGCGAATTTTCGCCGCTCTGTAACTTTGTTATTTTAAGTTTTAGAAGCAAAAGAAAAAATACGTGTCTACTATTTTCTGGCGTTCTAAAAGATGGACTAATTATATTTTTTTTGTCGTCATCACTATTACTAGAGCGAGAAAATGAATATTTGCGTACTCTTCTTCACCACAATATAACAGATCATAGTATTTTCTTGCAGATGGCACATACCCCTTCCACAACTGACAGAAGATTACTGCAGAATAGTCTGGATCAAATCATTCACTAATGATTTCTCGTCTGATGACATTCTACAATTTTTCCAATATACTATCGTTGTAAGTAGACAGCATAATTTTATAAACTTTGCATGGGTTTGTGGTAATATCGGCTAGGTGAATGAGGTTACTGAAATCATAATAAAGGAATCTGGGATGAGAAATGTGTAAGAATAAGGCAATATTGATATAATATGGCGAAATAGAGAAAATCATCAGGAAATGTAGGCTTAAAATTTCTAATTAGGTATAAGATTTGAGAGAGAATTGAAATTGATTATAATGATTATGTTATTTTTATTATTCACGTGCAAAATTGTCAGAAATTTACAAGAGATGTTAGCAGTCGAATAGCTTAATCGGGGCAATTTTAATCTTTAGAGATTCCGCAACGTTGATTTCCCAAAAGTCACTAAACTACAAACAAAGTGTGATGATTGTCTGTCCTGTGTTTATAAATATTAATATTTTTAAGAAACTTCATTTTTATTTCCAGCTCGCCGAATACGCTCGAGCTAATGATTACGTGAACGGTTATATATTAATAGTGGACTACCGTGATTGGAATATGTTCAAACTAATCACAAGGATGACTACTCCCGATGTTCAACCATTCATCAACGTTTTAACTGTACGTATCGTCATCATTATCTTCATCTATAGTTAAAACAAGTAATTCAAATATGTCCTAATTTAAAAAAAATGGGTTAATGCCTTTTTGCATCTCAAGTTCATTCTTGCGAACTCCAAATTTGGCAAGTACCAATGTTGCTTGGGGCTTGTGACCTTTTCCGAGTCTTAACTACTTTCTAAGATAATTTATTTTAGACAACACTGATTAATAGTTAAATCAAACATAGCGAGGATTGGACTTATTATAAGTTTGAAAATACCAAGTCGTCTTTAGCATGTGTGGTAATGCTCGTCCCTCCTCTGTGAGAGGAGGCCTTTTTCAGCTGTGAACTTTTAAGTTAACTGTGTTATTTTAAGTTGAGGATGAATTATCCATTATATGAATAGTTTTGGAGCCAATAAACTTAGAGTAAGTTATGCTGCACAAAAATTTACAGTAAAATCTTTTTTTTTAGAAAGGTTACGGTGGGAGATTGAAGAATGTGCACATAATATCTGATTCTAAAGCTGTGGAAGTCCTTGTAGCAACTGTCAAACAGTTAATTAGTGAGAAGCTTGGTAAAAGAATTCAAGTGCACAAGAATTTAGAGGAATTACATAAAGTAGTGCCTAAAGATCTTCTGCCAGAAGAATTTGGAGGGAAACAAAAGTCTTGTGAGAAAATACAGGGTAAGAATAGTATGTTTATAATTTCCTAAAATAAGACATTGTATTTTATACAAATATATCCTCTGGTTGGAATTATTCGTTATATTTGCACGGTTGAGGAAATGGTAGACAACACTTTACGTGATCCACCAATTATTATTTCAGGTCCAAGTTGGTCCAAGTTAGAACCGAAATAACAATTGGTCGGACCGTCCAACCCAACGATGGATTTTATTTTAATTATTTTATTTAAGCTGTAACTTTCAAATTATTTTCGGTTTTTCATCTTCGAATGATTTAAAGTATGCTTCTAATATATAATTTATTATACCACATTCTCATCAGCTATTATTATAAGTCCTTTTTGGCGCCCATGGGCCAATCACCAACAGCAGAACTATTGAAAATAAGCACAGAATCTGCTCCATATTAAGTGCTATATTTATTGTCTTGCATGGAAATTAAATCCTGTACGCCTTGCTGCTCAGCAAGTTTGCGTCATACTCTTGCTAGCACTTGACCAAACGATTCCAAACATTATTTTCATACCGGGAATCCTTGCTTCACAGACTTAGAATTACAATAACTTCACAACTACAACTTATCTTCTTTCCTATGTTGGTAAAACAAATGTGCTTTAATTTTTAAAATGATTTTGATTTTGGTTACAGCTGAAATTGTGGATGAATTGGCTTCTGATAGACATATACAATACTTGAAGGTAATGTCAAAAGCTTGCACGGACGAGTCCAAAAGAAATACGGGAAAGTTTAATGAAGAATACATGGGCATGCCTGGATCCTTCAGGAATTTGACTGTTGATTGATCATATTATCTCTGCCTTGGCTGTTTTTAAGAAATAAATTTTATTATATGTTTGCCTTTTTGTGTTTTTCTTTCTGCCCTTTTTTGAGGGGGGAAATCGTCAAATGTCTTCTCTGGCCCAGGGTGAGGTGAAAAACAGTATCAGACTATAACGCTTCTAATAGATGTTGAGGCGGATTCGAGAAAGGCGAGTCCTAATATGACCTTTTCCAAGTTATTTATATTAGTACGATGAATGTATGAACGAAAACATCATGAGGGAACCTGGACTTATAATTGCTAATTATCCTTGTGAGTTTGATATCACCAAACCGTCTTGAACAAGCGTGGTGGTTAATGCTTAAGTCCTCTCGATGTGAGACGTGCTCAGCAGACTTGGCAGTGGGCACTTTGAGGCTGATAATGATGATGATGACGATATTTGAGTAAGGTTTATCTGTCTGTCTGTCCGAATCAAAGCAATAATCTAAAAATTAACACATTATTTCTTAGAAAGATTTTGATTAATTATATAATCGATCACGTGCAAAACCTACATTTATATGTACATATTGATGTAATTAAACAGCCTAATGAAACCTAACCTCTCCATCTGTTTACTTAATATGCGAATATAAATTATGGCTTTAAAACTTATTACCACACTATATTAATGGTAGTAAAAATGTTTATCTGGTTTGGTTTGATTTTGGTAATAGGTTAAGGAGACCTCTTCTATCTTTAAAATGTTAAATGACTTCTCTGGCCCAGGGCAAAACTTGAGGAAGTATCAATCGCATCACACAGACCCTCGGAGTTAACACGCCCCCCCACCCCCTCTTGTTTCATCTCCTGCTCCAGTCCTAGACTACTTCGTTTTGTTGTCTCTTTGAGGCATCTGTGAGAGGGCGTGTTAAATGACATCTCTCACTCTAGTTAAGGCGAAAAAGAGTACCAGACTCTTACTGACTATAAATCACAGTTCCTTCTCCTGCTCCAGGCGGTACCTACCTTATTGCGCTTGACCCGCCGACCGACCGACATCTGTGGTAGTTTATATTATAATTACGGCCGACGTATCTTGGCGAGTCTGAAGTTAGCCGATTAGCTGCGCAGTACACAATTTTAGTCCTAAAAGATCCATTGCGCACACAAACGGCTAACTTCAGACTCGCCTTGATACGGCGGCCGTACTGTACACGACCTAACCTTCCATTCACCACGGTACCTTTTTTCGCTTGACCCGCAAATGCGGTTGAACGTCAGCCATGTTGGGTTCTATCTGTGGTAGTCTATTGGCTCTTTGAGGCATCTTCTACCATTAGGTAACAATTCTTATATGTGTAGGTATAATTTAATATGTACATAATATATCTATAGGATCTTGAAAACATATTTACATTTCTTCATATGCTTCGTTCAAATAGTCAATTTGTATCTATAGATATCTAACGCCCCATTAAATCTGTTGGCATTAATACTTTGTGACTTGTTGTACCATAAACAAAAGTCATTAACTTTAGTGGTAATAAAATCAAAACGATGCAAGTTTATCTTTTATTATTTTCACTAATTTATTGAGGAAACATCTTCGTCGTCGGGGGTGGTAGCCTTTTCTCCACCTCCGGGGATTCTTAGCACCCAGTGTTCCGCTGTTACCCTGACCGCGCTACCACGGTAGCCAGGAACGGCGGGACTGCCGGAGACTGGGGGCCTGGTTTTATCTGAGCAGTCCATATGGGGGTATTTGCCAATACTCGCCAGGCTTGGCAGGCGGGTTGGCGAGCGCAGTAAGGTCACCGATAATTTTTAAAGAATGCTGCTCCCCATTTCTCGGTGTCCGGTCGCAGTTTTAGGACGTACCTGGACCCTTCAAAGATAGTTTCTTGTTAGTAAAATGCGATTCCTATATCTTAACACAAAAATATTTTGACCTTACAAATCAATTAAAAAAAGCATACTAAAATTCGGATTCGGAATTAGGATTTGAAAATATACCACCGGTAAAAAAACGTTACCCCACACTAGGATTGTCTCCTGTGTCGTAGGTGCGGTTACAAACATACAATTTCACATGACACGTGACACCCAGACCCGGAACAACAATTTGTGGATCACACAAAGAGTTGTTCCGTGTGGGCACAGAACCTGCGACACGTTGCACGGCAGCCAGTTGCCCAGCCACCGCATCAACCGTGCAGAAAATATTATATTTGCTAACATAAAACATAATTGGATTACATTATGCACACTTATACATTACACCCGAAGTACCACGAATTTTGAATCTGGAATTACAGCATGCATTTCATGTAAATAATTTGCGCACACAACAATAAGAACAATGGGCATAAGTATTGTGACGGAAAACTCTTTGACATCATGACGTCAATGGATGGTTGTCAAACGTTGCCTAGAGATTGTAAATTTCGTCGTGAATTGTCAACACGAGTTGGTGTAATCGGTAAGGCGTGTGGATTACACCACAGAGACCTCGAGTTCGAGTCCCGCCGTAAACATGAAGTTTTTTAGTTGATGGAAGTTTTGTCGAACTTTCTGGAATTATTTGTGTGAAAGAAATGAAAAATTAAGGAGCGAGAAGGAGAATAAATAAAAATGAATAACGAAATTATTGGAAGGTTCTGGAGGCATGACGATCAAAAAGAATAACGAAATTGAATGTTCTAGAACCTGACCGGGGGTATATAAGCGGAACTGCGGCTCACCGCTGGCAGTTGAGTTCTAAGTCTAAAGCGGTTCGGAAGAAAAGGAAGAAGTGAAAAAGAAGAAAAGTGAGTGAAATAGTGAAGTGCAGTGAAATAGTGAAGTGCAGTCAGTTAAGTGAGTTAAGTCAGCGTGAACGGCAAAGTTGTGTCAGTCGGCCGGACTCTGCTGGAGAAGAACGCCGATAACTTAACTCCGTGGACGCTGTAACTTAAGTGCAATAGAAAGTCTGAAAACCGGTATTAGTGTTTCATTTTATCCAATCCCGTAACCCAAGCCCGCATAGTCAGGAACGTGACGTCAGGCACGTAACATTTGGTGTCAGAAGTGGGATTGGAGAAAAATGCCGCTAGTGCCGCATGACGTAAGAGGAGTAAGTACCCGTGCAATGTCAGAAGCGCAGCGTGTGAGGGAAGAGGGTGCTGCAGCTCAAACCAGCGATGCAGAAGCCAAGCCTGTGCAGGTGGATCTTCTGCTACAGCTGCAGCAAATGATGGCAGAGCAAGCGCGCCGCCAAGAAGAGCAAGCGCGCTGTCAGGCAGAACAGCTGCGGGAGCTGAAAGAAGAGCAAGCGTGCCGCCAAGAAGAGCAAGCGCGCCGCCAAGAAGAGCAAGCGCGCCGGCAAGAAGAGCAAGCGCGCCGCCAAGAAGAGCAAGCACGCTGTCAGGCAGAACAGCTTCGGGAGCTCAAAGAAGATCAAGCTCGCCGCCAAGAGGAGCAAGCGCGTCGCTTGGAAGAGATGCACAAGGATTTCACGAAGGGACTGCAAAAGGCTGTCGAACGGGTACAAAAAGTGGAGGAAGGGTTAGGCAAGTTGGAACATCGCGTCATGGCGATAGAGGAAAGAGTGGAAGAAGAGATCTCCAAAATCAAGCAAGAAGTGGCAAGCCCAAGCCCTTTGAAGAGCCGAAGCCGTCTTGCAGCCGTTTTTGACACCCCAAATGTGGCCTCAAGCGCAACGAAAGGGCTCAAGATTCCCCATTACGACGGAACAACATCCTGGACCGCGTTCAAGCTACAGTTTGAGACACTTATGGAGGCTTATGGTTGGACTCAGAAGAAAGCACAGTCAGCCCTCACCCTGGCCCTCCGTGATCAAGCGCTCTCAGTGCTGGAAGCTATCGGCGCAAGTGGGGATCTCAGCTTTAGTGCCCTCCTCGACGCACTTGAGGCACGTTTTGGAGACAGCCACCTTGAGCACGTGTACAGAGCGCAATTAAAAGAGCGTACTCAGCGTGCTAATGAGAGTCTACAGCAATGGTCCGTGGAAATCGAAAAACTTGTGCGTCGAGCTTTCCGGTCGACTCCGTCAATGATTGAAGGCACGCTTCTCCAAGCATTCATTGACGGTGTTCGGGACCCCGAAGTACGAGCTGCTGTTCATCTGGGCCATCACAAGAACATGAAAGAAGCTCTGGCCCATGCATTGGAAGTGGAAGCCGTGCGTGGTAACTCCCGTACCTTACGTCTGCGGGAAATGACGACAACGGAGCAGGTACCTCCACGCCGTCGGAACTTCATGTGCTATGGATGCGGAGAGCGTGGGCACATGCGGAGCGACTGCCCGAAGAAGGTGAACCGCCAGGATGCGGCGGTCTCAACTTCTGACCAGCAGGAAAACTAAATCCAGCCAGGGCTGCGGGGTGGGCGCTGGCCGGTAGTGGAATAACCCCAACAATCTACATCAAGCAAACTAACGATGGAAATACTCTGGTGATAGACGGTCAAGTAAATGGGAAAAACAGTCAGCTAACGTTAGATACTGGAGCTTCAAGGACGGTGATGAATGTTCGGCTGCTCGGGCAAAACATCAGGAAACACCTTAAACCAATTGTTGGCCTACGAATGAAATCAGCTACCGGCCAGCGCATACCGATAAGTGGAAAATTGCATGTAACAATTAAAATTGGGGAACGTGTTTATCGACATGAGGTTATTGTGGCCAAAATTCTGGATGACTGCATCCTGGGACTTGATTTCCTGCAAGGGCACCAGTGTAACATCGACTTAAAATCTGGAGTATTACTATGTGGAACTGAGGAAATTCCGATGAAGGGTGGAACCCTGGGAAAAGTTTGCTGTTTAAGAAGAACTGTTCTTGCACCAAAATCACAGACTCTCGTACCAATTGCATTACCTAGGAGGAGGGAAGGAAGTTTACCTCGAAGGTGCGCTGTGATTGATAAATCGGAACACGTAAACTCATGGCTACCGGCAAGAACTGTCGTGGGGTCATCTGATGTCAACCGCATTCCGGTATTCAACTTCAGTGATTCAAAAATTACGATTGAAGAAGGAGAGCCTGTGGGCGTATTGG